AGGGGGAGTGTTGTCCGTTACGCCTCGGCACCGCGACGAGTCCCAGCACTTCAGTAGCGACGGGGGCGGCTGAGCAGAGGGGCCCGGGTGAGCCGTGTCGGGAGCTGCCGCAGGGGAAGGCGGGGAGGGATCCCAGCCAGCAGCGGGCGAGGAGCTGGATATGGGGCGGGGGGCTCAGGCCACTCGGCCCCGCGGAGCGGGGGCGGGTCACTCACCTGCGCTCCCTCACGGGCGGGGCGGGCCTGCGGCCTCGGCTCTCAGCACCGTCGCCGGGGGACAGGAACCCCGCGAGCGCGCCCTCCGGCCAGATATCGCGAGAGCTTGGACGCTTCCGAGTTCTGACTCCTCCTAGGCCCGCCCTCGGGGGCTTGGCTCACAGGCGCTTGGCGGGCGGGGTTTACGCTTCTTGCGTATCCTGCCGTGTGCTGGGGGCTTGGAGGCAGCGCCGCCCCGATCGTCGCCCCCCGCTCCGTCCAGATCCCCACTCGCCCCTGTCACAGGGCCTGAGATTTGTTCCCGCCATCGCCAGGCTGGACGCCTCTCGCCCCGGTCACAGGGTCCAAGACCTGCCCCCCACCCCGGGGCTGAGCTCCCCTCACTCACACGGTTCCCCCCCCCCCCCGTCATTTTAATCCGTGACTAGTCGAGTTGTCAGTGTGGCTCACCCTTCTCCAGTAACAGTGCCAGCCTTGATGCCCCATTGATGTATGTGCCTCTCACAGTCATGTGTGTCCCATAGCCCTAGAGCAGGGGTAGGCAACCTATGGCACGCAGGCCAAAGGCAGCACACGAGCTGATTTTCAGTGGCACTCACACTGCCCGGGTCCTGGCCTCCGGTCCGGGGGGCTCTGCATTTTAATTTAATTTTAAATGAAGCTTCTCACACATTTTAAAAACCTTATTTTCTTTACATACAACAATAGTTTAGTTATATATTATAGACTTATAGAAAGAGACCGTCTAAAAAGGTTAAAATGTATGACTGGTACGCGAAACCTTAAAGTAGAGTGACTAAATGAAGACTCGGCACAACACTTCTGCAAGGTTGCCGACCCCTGGTCTAGAGCGACCGCCTTGGGTTGTACTACAGGGCTACGGTCTTCTCCTTCATATCCGTCCTGCAGACCCATTTCTGCTGCTGTGCTCCCAAGAAGTTAGGCACTAATAATTGGGAGGATTCGAGGCATTTGGGAGTCAGCCATAAATCTCATACAACTTGCATGCATTGTTTTATCCTCTCCCCTTCTTCGGATGTTGCTTTCTTCTTGAAGTTAAGCTTTTCAGGACAGAGACTGCCTTCTTATGTGGTTGTACCGCACCTAGCACATTTTACCTGCAATTGCAGTATAAATAACAGGAGACTGTCTAAAATGGTATCAGCCTTTCATTGCAATGTACTGCCCTACATACTGAATGTTCCTGAAAACATTCACTATTGCATTATCTGATTAAACCTTGCCTATTTCCATGGGTCAAAACAACATTTTTTCCCATTGATAAGAATTTTAGGGAAACGTACATCATTGGGCTCTTTGTAAGACGATATTAGGCCTTGTCTGGGCTAGGATTAAGGTTTGGTGCTACCTAGTCTTAGCAAATATGTTGAGCAGTGTGTTTTAAATCATGTTTAACTTGTGGAGTTAAAGTCTGGAAAGATCCCTAGGCTTTAACTCAGCCAGTTTAGCCTGTGTTAAAGGCAGTGTGCCTTGTCTAGACTAGACTTAAAATGTGTTTCTTAGTCTGTGTTAAGATGTGCTTTAACATCACAGCCTTAACTCCTAGTTCAGATAAGGCCTTATTTTTTCTGATACATTTGTAGATACATGTGATGTATTCAGAACTCTTACAGTAGCATTTCACTCATATTCAGAATTTTTAACATTGCTGGGTTAAGAACCTTCTAAAAGCTGCCCTGTTTCTTTAAGAGAAGTCTTTGGAAGGGACATACCCATAGCAAAACTCTCTTAAACTTCCATGGATTGGTTATCCTCTCATGACTGGCAAGGCTAAAGCATTGTCTCTGTTTCTAATTGGTTGGTCTTTTTATCCATCATTCACCCTATTCTGAGCTTTGTGGACATCAGGCTACTTTGAGAGAAACATGAAAGAGATTTTTCATGGTGCCATGAATTTTGACTTCTTTGTGATTAACATACTGTATAAATAAATATACACAAGGCTAAAGGTTTACACTGATGTTGAAAGTGCAACTCAACAGCAGCATTATGTGTTTGAACGGAACAGAAGTGAGAAACTAAGACAACTCAAAAAAGAATGTAAGTGGATAATTAATTTACACTCTAAAGTGCATTTTTCCTTCTAGGAAGTTTGTTGGCTTTCTTATTCATTTTACTGGAGAGTAGTTACCTAATGAATGTGACCAGAAAGTCAGTGTGAATTTTAAAAAGGGTAATGATGAATTAAGTAAATTAATTGAAGGAATATCTCCATCATCCTTAGCAAAATGGGTTGTGACTAACCAGGGAAGTTGGGAGGTACAGCAAAACAGATATTGTCTTAAGGGCCAGTTGAACAATTTCGTGAATCCTCAGTAAAGTTATTTTTGGGGAGCATCCCCTCAATTTTTCCTTGTCCCTTTCATCTTCTTCCTATCTTCCTTTTCCCTCATGCTCAGGAGGGAAAATGTATAATAGACATTCGCTCTTTTCCCAACTAATCAAGGTAGTTACACAGCATCAGACTGTAGAGCCTTATATTAAATTTGGCATTGTCCCTACACTGTTCCACCCTGCCCCCTGCTGAATAGAAGTCCCATTGGCTGTGTGTTTCTTGGGTTTCAAAATCTACCTTTAATCCTTCTAACAAATCAGTTATTTAAAAAATGGTTGTTACAGGAAATTGGGAGTACAAATTATTTAGTGGATATTGAAAGCATGCACAGTCATGCCACTTTGAGAGAATAGGTAATTTTCCAACATTAAAAATGGAAATGCCTTTTACAGAATATCCTGCTCATATGATCCACATTTATTTAAAAAAGGGTGGAAAGTATAATCGCACTGAGACATTTCAGTCTTCTTCCTTTCTCTCTTTCTTTGTTGTTGTGTTTTCTTCTTTTTTCACATGCACCTTTTTTATGGCATTGGTCACAGCATGCCAGGAGGGGAATGCATAAATTTTGAGAGTAGGGGAAACCAGGGTAAAATAAAGCAAATATTATCCGTTTCAGATTGGAATAATAGTGTGATGTAAAAGGCATGTTCTAAAGAAGCCTGTAGTGATGTTATGAAGAAAGGATGCTACATTAGCAGAGTATATTGCCAGTGAAAATTAATGTTTGATCAAATAAGACTTGCTTTTGAAAGATCTACACAGACATATTTTTATTCAATAACACCCAGCCTTGAGAAGTGCTGAATGCTCTTGGATTCCAATGGGATTTAAACAGGAGTTGATGGCAATTAGCATCTCTCTGGCAGTGCTCAGCACCTTGCAGGATTGAGTTTTATAGTTGCCTTTTTTTAATTATATTTCATTTCTTATATAGGTTTTCATTTTTAACAAAATGATTAACCTAGAGGCAGGTAGCTAGTGGACACGTACATTCCACACAATAATAACATGCCAGTAATTTTACGTCACTGGGTATATGCTTCATAAACTTCATCAAAATAGATAAAAACTGGCATGCTGTTTTTGGCAAATGTTTTTTCTTAAAGTAACATTTCAGGTCTGGGAAAAGATGCATAAGTGAGTGGAATATTATTGGGATTGCAAAGGTTATCTCCCTGTTAGCTGCTGAGAGCTCCTAAAACATAAACATGCTGTAGAGTTAATAAAAGCCTATAGTCAGTAAGTATTAAAAATGTCCACATTTTCATTAGAAAAGTCTTTATTTCATAAGAAATGCAACAGAAAAATTGGATGTCTTTACCTAGTTTCCAGTAGTTGCATCTCTGCTACTTGCTCTTATGCCATGACAGTACTAAATTCTCTAGTATCAAGCGAAATAGATTGTTGGTGGGATTTTCCAACACATTCAAGATTGATTAGACCCTGCTCCCACTGATACCATTACCATTGCTTTAATGGGAGCAAAGTTAGGCCAATATTGACTACTTTTGAAATTCCCACCCAGAATAATTTTTAATGAATATTTATGTCAATAACTGATAGCCTGTATGCAAAAGATAATAATGAATTTACATCATATTCTACAGGAAAAAATTTTGCTGTGACAAAATAATTTTCACTGTGTCTTCATAGACAACTGATATTAAAAGTAGATATTTAAAGATAGCAAAGTGCATTGAGAGCTACTGTACTGATGAAAAGTGCTATATCAGAGCTCGTTATTACTGTTATTATTTATTATTAGATATGGTAATTATCATATATACTACAGGGCCTGTTTACTTGAAACAAGGCATGTTTTATAGGTCTTATTGATAACTCAAGCCAAGCCTGAAGATTGTACTGTATTGGTGCTTATTCTATATAAAGCTGTGTAAAAATATTGTGTTGTATTATTTGACTAATAATTTATAATAACATACTTTATATAACCAAGGCCTACCAGGAAGCCATAGGATGAGTGAGCCCAGAATGCTGTAAGGCAGGGGTTCTCAACCTTTTTCTTTCTGAGGCCCCCCCCCCAACATGCTCTAAAAACTCCATGGCCCACTTATGCCACAGCAACTGTTTTTCTGCATATAAAAGCCAGGATCAATATTAGTGGGTAGCAAGCAGGACAGCCGCCCGGGTCCCCATGTCACAGAGGGCCCTGTGAAGCTAAGTTACTCAGGCTTCAACTTCAGCCCCATGTGGCGGGGCTTCGGCTTTCTGCCATGGGCCCCAAAAAGTGTCATGCTGTCCCTGCTTGGTGGACTTGGAAACCTGCTCATGGCCCCCCAGGGGGCCCCGGATCCCTGGTTGAGAACCACTGCTATAAGGTATTGAAAAATCTTTGATAAATTACTCTGTTTTTAACAAATGTGAATGTGGTTAAATTACAGGATCAAAAGAGGATGTCGACAGGAGAATGCAGGAAGCTTTAGAAGCCTGAATCTCTAGCCACACGGATGACTCTGTTGCTGCCCTTAATGCTAGAATCAGGAGAAAGCTCCATACCAGATCTTCAGAAGCAGAACTACTACAGCCTCCTGAGCAGAAACTTCTGCAGTGTGAACAATAGGCAAAGATGCACAGCAGCTATCATGAAGTAAGAGAGCTGTATCGGACATACTTTGTATGAAATCACTTGCTTTCACATACCATGCATTTCACACCAGCAAAGGCAAACACTGTACATGTGACTTGATCAATATAGTCTCTAGATTTCAGTGGTAATGGTAATTTTTAGGTCAAGAAGTAATCGTGAGTGGGAAAGGTGGGGTATTAGGTGCTCATGGAAGTATAGCACAGTAGTTGGGATCAAGGGTGGGATTTTGAGAAGCACCCAGCAATGATCTAACTCTGCTTCCATTTAAGTCAATGGTAAAACTCCTGTCTACTTGAATGAGAGACAAGTTAACCCAATGCCGAGCATTTTTAAATATCCTACCCTTGGTCATTTTCACTGTCTAAGGGGGTCTAGGGTTTTGCCATTGACTTTACAGGTAGAATGATTGACAGGGCCGGCTTCAGCTTTTTTGCCACCCCAAGTGGCGAAGCGGGGGGCAAAAAAAGATGAAGCCGCGATTGGCAGCACTTTGGAGGCTCTACCGCGCCGCTTCATTCTTCAGCGGCAATTCGACGGCGGACCCGCTGCCGAATTGCCGCCGAAGACCCAGATGTGCCGCCCCTTTCCATTGGCCGCCCCAAGCACCTGCTTCCTTTGCTGGTGCCTGGAGCCGGCCCTGATGATTGACCCCAAAATAATTAAATGACTTGGGATACAGTGTTAGCTTAAAGGTGTTATGGCCATGACTTTTGAGGATTGTTTGGTAATATTCAGGTAGACAATCCGAAAACCAAGGTGCCAAGTTTAAAGATGCTGAATAACATGATGATAAAAGCTTTGTTAATCAAAATAAACTATTACCTTGATTCTTCTCTCATTTGTACTGGTGTAAATCAGGAGTAATTTAACTGACACACGGAGTTACACTGGTGTAATTCTAGTACAAGTGAGAGGAGATTGCAACACTACAGTCTTAGGTGAAATGTTTCTGTTTTGTTAAACCTCATTGTTGGGTGGGTTCTGGTTACTTTTGCCATTTACCAGTCTAAAGGCTACAGTTGTACAATTTGTTAAAGGAATGCTATGAGGTTAAAAAAAACTTCTTTACAATTCCTTACCTATGTTATTAATAAAACATGAGATTATAAATTAACATACAACTGATAATCCTCTTCCTTTGTGTCTTCCACTGTGTTCAACTTTCAAACATTTGCTATTATTTGACCTCACATTACCCACATATGGCCAGTCTAATTAGAATTCAGAATAACAGAGTCTTTTGATTAATGTAGAACAGTGTTTCCCAAACTTGGGACGCTGCTTGTTTAGGGAAAGCCCCTGTTGGGCTGGGCCGGTTTGTTTGCCTGCCGCGTCTGCAGGTCCGGCCGATCGTGGCTCCCACTGGCTGTGGTTCGCTGCTGCAGGCCAATGGGAGCTGCTGGAAGTGGCGGCCAGTACGTCTCTCGGCCCGTGCCGCTTCCAGCAGCTCCCATTGGCCTGGAGCAGCTAACTGTGGCCAGTGGGAGCCACGATCGCCCGGTCCTGCGGACGCGGCAGGTAAACAAACTGGTCCAGCCCGCCAGGGTCTTTTCCTACGCAAGCAGCGTCCCAAGTTTGGGGAACACTGATGTAGAACATGAATGGAACATTATACTCCACTTTCAGACAAACAGAGAAGTCAGCACCCAAATACTAAAGTAGTCACAATACAGGTTGGGATTGAACATTGTCAGTCTAGGCTTGATATTGAGAAGTGCTGCACACCAAGAGATCCATTTGAATTCAATGGAACCTGGAGGAGATCAGCACCTGTGCAATTCATGTTCCCTGTAATTAGGCTTCTTAAACAACGGAGTGTTCTTTTTCTGTTAGTTTAAACAGATTTGTTTACCTGCGGCATCCGCAGGTTCGGCCGATCACGGCTCCCACTGGCTGCAGTTCACCGCTCCAGGCCAATGGGCGCTGCAGGAAGGGCGGCCAGCATGTCCCTCAGCCCGCGCCGCTTCCCGCAGCCCCCATTGGCCTGGAGCAGCGAACCGATCCAGCCCGCCAGGGGCTTTCCCTGAAGTTTAAGAACCACTGCAATAGAGGGTTTGAAAGTGGTTTTATAAATCTGCCGTTTCGTACATTCAGTAAGGGGGGGTCCTACTAGTAGTTTTACAATTTACTCTTCACTTTGAATGCAAAGATGAATGTATACGATTCCCTTCAGAGACCATCCATACTGCTTCTTAATTAGCACAAGGCTCACTATGGAATTATGTGAGCTATTCCACCCATTTCTTGCCAAAACAGGACCAACCTGGGATTTGAAATTCTCCCACATCCTACAGCTATATCACTGGCCCACCGCTACCTACCCCTTTTTAAATGATGTTATGGTATCCCATTCAGCCTGGATGGGCTTTCATGGTCTTCCCTGAGCAGTCGGTCATAGGTTTATGATGAAGTTACTTCTTCACTTGAAGCCCTGCCAAAGCAGTGACTCAGCAGTGTGAATTCATTGGCTGGAGGGCCCTGCGGCCTCCATGATCTTTCACCCTGAATTCTATTCCATCTGCTGTTTTGGTTACAGTAGCAACATTGCTGAAAGATGAGATTAGGAATTTTTTTCTAGCTTGATACTATCATGGTCTCTTCAGTGTATGTCACCAGACTCTCTGTGCAGTGCTCATATATCTGTGCTTGACAGCTGATCGTTCAAGGCTTGACCCTGCATACCACAGAAGTGACATGTTGCTTTTATAATCACAAGGTTAAAAATGATGAGCAGGACAGGGAGTGCTGGGAACCTGATCTTGCATTAAGGAAAGTGCTGCTGTGTAGCTGCTAAGTTACTCCTGTCCAATAGCAAGAGGCCGGCTAAGAGGGGAGTTTATTGCTAAGAAATCATCATCTCGCTGCCTACACCCTGCCTCTTGAGAGTGGGCTGGAGACTTACTTCTGCTTGGAGCAGAGCATTATGCCTCCTAGTGTGTAACCTTATTTGTGGCCACACATACCAATTACACTTGCATTGATGTGCAGCAACTTTGCAGGAGAAGACCTATGTGTTCTCCAGTCACCACTGGCCTGGAAAGTAGAGCTCCACCAACTAGTCTAAATTCTGTCCCTGGAGTTAATTGGCATAATTCCATTGACTAGAATTGCACGTTCTTATACCAGAGCTAAATATGGCCCCAGTCAAATGCCTGACTGATGATGTATGGTACTGTGTTTCCAGGCAAGTTGCACAAGCTTGGAAAGATGCAGGTAGTGGCTTCTGTAATCTAATAGTAAAGCCTTCGGTAGTCATCATATGCTGTCTTGCTTAGATAGGGCCAGATATAAACATGAAGTCATGATAATGGTTTTAAGGTTTTGTTGTTATTGTCGCAAGATTTGTAGCTCTCGGTTTTGCAGATTCAGGGGATTCAGATACTTCATCTGAACTTTTGGGTTTAGAGCTAAACCTGCACAATTTGAATCTCTTGAGGCTCCGCAATCACTAGTTTTGATGGATAAGCCTTTTCCATCCAATATTGTGGATACTGCTCATGTTGAAACACATTCACTAATTGCACTTTGTAAATTTGACTTTGAAATTCAAAAACATTCATTCCACAGTCAAAGGCCTGTCTTGTCAGTAGTGGAGTCAACAACGTTCGTTTTAGTGACATGGCACAGAAAAATGAATTGGTTTCTCTTTTAGTGGCAATTAAAAATAATATATTCTGAGCTAATTCACATCTTAAACCTTGTGCTCACACCGAAAAGTAGGTTTTCTTGGACACAGTTCTCTTTTGAGAAGTACATAAGGATGGTCCCACTGGGATTTGGTGGAGCCTCTTCCCAGGAGGGGAAGCACTTGATGGTGGTCTGTGGAGAGCTAGTGGGTAAATAGTTCTCTTTTCCAACTGCTAAATCTGATTATATGAATCTAAAAATACATTAAATACTTTCATAATATTTTCCAAATGACCAATGGCTCTAGTTGCCACAGGGGTGTTATATGATTGCAAATGGGAGGAGGGGGTGACCCTTTGGATCACTAACAGCAAGCGGGACATACATGAGATAATCTTTCAGTTAAGTAATATTGCCAACCACAAACAGTCCAAAATCATGGGTCAGGCTCCCAAAATCATGAGATTTTTAAAATAATGGGTGAAATCCTGGTCTCATTGCTGTTAGTGGTAAAGCTCCCTTTGATTTCTATGGAGGCAGGATTTCATCCAGTAAATTTGGGGCTCTTTATTTGCCTTCTGGTTTTTGAGCCTATAGGGTTCATGATTTCAACTTTTTCTTCCACAACCGTTACAATTTTCTTTTAATAAAAACTGATATCTCAAGTAATCACCTGATTCCACAAGCTGGAGCTTTATAAAGATCCTCAAAATATCACAAGAATCACAATAAAAGCACAAGTGTTGGCAACACTGATTAAGATGTCGTGTGCACTATGAAAAAATTTGCTGACCTCTGCCATAGATTCTAGGGACCCAATGCAGGAAAACATATCTATTTAGGAAGTTTCAATTTAAGCAGCTTTACTTTCTGTTTTCCTCATTATATTTTGTACTTTCAATCTTTCCAAATTTGTGTTAAAAGAAATGGAAAAGAGCTAGTTCATCCTCTGGCCTGGGCTTTGATTGTTCCCTACAACGTCCAGTGTTTGCTACTGCTTCATCCAGTCTCAGTTTAAATTACTCCAGCCAATTGGGTTGCCACACCATTTCCACTGGGAGAGATACTGTTCCACAGTCTGCTCAGTATCAAAATTAAGACATTTTTACCACATATGCCATCCAGATTTACCTTCGCTTAAAATTTCATCTTTATTGTGTATACTTATTCCTATCTTTTGCAACATCCTAAATAAGGCCTTTCCTTTGTTGATGTTCACACCTTTCACAGAATCGTAGAAATGTAGGTCTGGAAGGGACCTCAGGAGGTCATTTACTCCAGCCCACTCTGCTGAGGCAGGCAGGCAAGGACACTTACACCGAGTACAATACCAAAATGTTAAGATCTTTATTAAAATGAATGAAAGAATAAGCAAAGATATAAAACACAGAGTCACAAAGAGGTAATACAATTCTATGGCCCCTAGTGGTAACATCTCTGTTCTAAAAGACTACATAAACTAGCATACTCACACCTTTCCCTGAAGACCTGGTAGTTGGAGACAGAGGACCAGCCTTGTCTCTGGCAGGCCCGATGAATTCGATGGTCCAGGCTCCCCAAATTGCTAGGGATTAGGTTCGAGTGCTGAGTAGCTGAACTATATTGTGAAGCTGAGCTGATAGCTTGATAGAAGATAGGAAAGAGCAACCCCCCCCCCCGCATAGTTGTTGGCCCTCTTATTGGGTTCTGGCACTGCTTTAATCAGGGCACAACCTACCATGCTGAAATCTTATTTCCTCACCCAGATAAATCTTTGGGTACACTTACTCTATAGGCTAACATATATTCATACGTATTAATATCGATTATCTCATCCCCAAAACCGTTATCTTTGGCCTAAATCATGACTTCCATGTTCTGTGGTGTACCCTGCAGTTACAGTCTGTTCCAGAGTTATGGTAAACACATTCAGTTCTTTGTTTGGTTCCCCAAAGTCAAAAGGGGTAACTGGTAGGCCATTTATCTATGGCAAAGGTTACAAACACTTATGCTAACTTGCTCTAGGTCAATGTTTCCCAAACTTGGGACGCCGCTTGTGTAGGGAAAGACCCTGGCGGGCCGGGCCGGTTTGTTTACCTGCCGCGTCCGCAGGTCTGGCCGATTGCGGCTCCCACTGGCCACGGTTCGCTGCTCCAGGCCAATGGGAGCTGCGGGAAGCGGCGCGGGCCGAGGGACA